TAGCTACTACTTCCAAGTCTGTTTATTTTTTTTGGAATGTCTTTCCCTTTTGTATCTAAATTCTTCCTAAACGCCAACTCCTACTTCTTCCAAATGTCTTCTAGGATTGTTCTAGCCCTCAATGGCATCACCACCCTTTAAATAGCAGTGAGTACCATATAATACAGAGTCCTGGTGCAGCGTTGTGGGCTAACACGCTGGACTGCAAAGTCGTTTGAACCACAAGGTTGATGGTTCAAGCTCATCAGCCGCTCCTTGGAAACCCTATACAGGGTCGCTATAGGTTGGAAACGACTCGACAGCACATAACAACAACCATATAATACAGAGCTCTGGTATGGCACTGTAGGATAAGCACTGGACTGCAAGGTTGGTTTGCACTGCAAGGCTGATGGTTCAAACTTACCAGTTGCTCCTCAGAAACCCTATACATGGTTGCTGAGTCGGAATCAATTTGACAACACTTTAACAACAACTATACAAAACAGTATCATCGCATAGCTTTGCTAATGATTTCCTATGTGTTAGTCTAGTATCCCCAGCTTTGTAAACTACTTGAGAAAAACATATCACAACATCTTTGTACATTCCATTTTAATAATACCTCTCATCTTCTAAACATATGCCATCTTCCAGATGCATCTTTCTATCTTAGAGAGAAATAGCCTAAGGGGTGGTGGTGGTTGCTGTTAAGTGCCGTTGAGTCAGTTCTGACCCATAGTGACCCTGTACAGGGTTTTGAGGCTATAAATCTTTATGGGAGCAGAAAGCCTCATCTTTCTCCCACGGAGTGGCTGGTAGTTTTGAACTGCTGACCTTAATGTTCGCAGCCCGATTTGTAACCACTATGCTACCATAGCTCCTTAAGGGGTGGTAATGAGTGATAAATGAATAGAAACATCAAGGATGATACCCATAAAGGAACTTGATGGAAGACGATAGGCTATACCACAAACTTAAGAAAGTATATATGAAAAACAAGCAAAAGCACAGTGGTAGTGGTGGTGGTTATGCTGTGGAGTCAGTTCTGACTCATAGTGACCCTGCATGGGATTTCCAAGGCTGTATATCCTTGGAAAGATGAGGCAGAAGGTCTCTTCTCTCTCCAGTAGAACTGCTGATTATGAGATTAGCAGCCTGACTCATAACTACTATGCTACCAGAGCTCCAGAAAAGTACAGTTGTTGGAAAATAGATAGATAAGGATCAAAAGATAAAGGCTACTTAATAATATAATGAAGTAATAGATTAAGAACATTATAGAATTGTAAAAGCTCACAATAAAATTTTACAAACAAAACAACAACAATGAAATGAAAAAAGAACTAAATTTTGCCTTTCAACATCATTGGCCATTAGTTTTAATAAGTAGTGTTGACATTAGTATGTATGCCTTTTTTTTTAAAAAAAAAAAACGTGATAAAGTGAAGAACTAAAAGCCTCAATGGATTAGCCATTCACAGTATTACAAATCTTTGAATTTACAATACAGACAGATCCTAGATTATGAATAAATTCCATTCCTACATCTGTCTTCAAGTAGAATTTGTCTGAAAGTCCGAACACCTAGGTACGTTTTGGATCTAATGGACGGTGGTCAAAAGTTTGTCTAAGTATATTGCATACCTTTCTATGCATAAAAAATTTAAAGAAACACTTCCTGACGCATTAAAATAGCTTTCATGTAAAAATAAATGCAATGCCAACTAGTAGATTCCAACTCACAGCAATCTAATGGGACAGAGTAGAACTGCTCCACGTGGTTTCCAATACTGTAAATCTTTATGGGTGCAGAAAGCTCACCTTTCTCCTTGGAGCCACTGCTAGGCTCAAACCACCAAACCCTGCAGTTAGCAACCCAATGTTTAACCCACAGCATCACCAGTGCTCCTTCAACATAATAATACAGTAAAAGTCCTGGTGTGGCACTGTAGGATAAACACTGCACTGCTAACCACGATGTAGGAGTCTCAAATCACCAGTTGTTTCTCAGAAACCCTATGCAGGTCAGAATTAACTCGATGACACTTAACAACAAGGTTTTGATGCACATCTCAATTTAGCACCCACTTGTTATTAGAAATCACTGTATGAATCTTAATTTTTTATTATGAACTGAGTAAAGGTTTATAAAGTTGATCATCAGTTTTACATCCAACAAATCATACATTTTGGTTTATCTAAATGACTGAAATCCCCTCAATGTAACATCATTTATACTACTTACTCTGTTTTCATTCTTCCTTGTTTCCATTCTTCCTTCTTTCCCGACCCTTCTGAATTTTGTAAATACTGCCCTTTTGATTTCCAATGGTTAAACATTCTATGGTGTGCACAACTTATATCTATCACTTGGCTGAAAATGGAGCCATGGGGGTGTGTTCAGTTCCAGACCTGATGGCGACAAAAAGCCATAGTCTCAAGGGTTCACCAATCTGTATTTGGCCAGTAAGATTAGTCCTTTTTATGTATCTCAAAAATTTGAATATAATAGGCTTTACAGGGTTGGTTTCTAATTACAGGTTGCATTTAACCTGGGGACTATCTGTACTGTGAATTTGATCTGCTAGCACTTGCTAAAAACTAAAACAGAAAGCATTTATTTATCTTTTGATTCATCTGATTAAAAATATTGGAAAGCATGTGCACAACCTTCCGTCTTTCTCAAAGACATCAACTAGAGTCATTTTCATGGGAAGATGCTCCATGAAAAATAAAACATCAACAACAAAACCCTTTTGGTTACTTCAACAAATTGTACTTTTAAAACATAAGCGAAATATAAGCTGCACAAGTCCTAGATGTATGAATATCAAAGAAAATATAAATACTTTAAAACAAGCATATTACCCATGAGCCTAACCACAGATAGATAAACTATAGATTAAATGTTCTTTACCTATGTAAAGCCACAAAAGACAATGCAAATATTAGCCAGGCATCTCCTCTTTTTTTTCTGGGTGCCTGTCTGGTCAGAGAAGAGAATTTTTCTTTTAATTATTAATTAAATATGCTTATTATATTACAGAAATCTTACAAGTAAAAAGTAATTATTAACTGCATAGAAAAGTAATATACATCAGCTCTCAATTACTCACATGAAATGGGGAAGTGATGACACAGCTGCCCAAAAAGATATTCTTAGAAATCTGTCTTTTCTAATGCATATCATTAATTTGGAAGAAGCGAATTTCTTTTTTTTTTTTTTTTTTTTTTATCATTATACTTGATTGAGACCAGTGTTAACCAGATTATTCTTCCTCAGTGATTCAGAGGATTCACACAAAAGGGAAAAGGGAAAAAAAGAGGGAGCTCATTCAGAAGCATACAGGTGGCTAAAGGCAACCAGCTTGGGATTTAAAAAAAAAAAACACACACACACACAAAAAGACATCCAGAGTTAACCTACACATAGAAGATTGAGAGGCAATCTATAAAGGAAAACAAATAAAATACAGGAAAATTTAGTGTGGGAGAGATAAAAAAAATTTTTTTACTATAAAAATTTTAACAAGTTTTTTTTTTTCCTGTCAACATCATCCCTTCTCCCCACTAACTGGTATTACTAGTGATAGCAAACAATTACAGTGTGCTAAAAAGCTAAAAGCAAAATTACAGGTATCTTTTATAAAAGACGTACTAGAAACCCTTCCTTTACCGGTGTTCCACCATTTGCCTCGGTGGGCATATTATCTCATTGCTTCAAAGGAAAAATAAATTCAACCAAGGAGATACCGAAAAGGCAGAAAGATGCATTTCTCTGGAACATTTTCTGGTTGATTTAAGCAAAACTAGCACAGGCTTGCAAGAATGGCAGATTTAGCAAACACACGCACAATCAATATTTATTCAAATAACAGATCATCATCGCCAAAACTCAGTCGGTTCTGCCTAACATATGGCTCAAAACTCCTAAAGTGCCATATGTTTAGCACGGGTGCTGGGAACTGTATGGTCATAAAATATCAGAGTAAAAGTACTTTCCGAGTGCTACTGCTGTCAATTCATTCTCCCAATACAGAAAACCCCCCACACAAACTTTGGTTTCAAGAACTCAAAACCCAAGACACAAAATATTTATGTTTCTCCCTTTGGTTAAATCCAAAGTGAACACATACACGACTGTATTGTTCAATTAAAAAAAAAAATGTCAGTCTGCTATTCTTAGCTACTAACTAGGTGGTCAAACACAAAGGTCTCCAAAGGGACTTACAGAAAAATGGGCCCAGAAAACAGCGCGAATTCCTGATTCGGGCGATCATTACCCACACCACCCCACCCCACCCCCCACCGCCACTCTCCTAGGGCTTTTCAGACCAGCGGCAATTGAACACCCCAGTCAAGACCACAGTCTTATAAATAGCTGTCATTTTACCACTAAATTAGTTGTTATTTTTCCTTTACCTATCGCAGACGTCTTCCCCAAACCGTGTCAAAAGTTCAAAGCTCCTGGGTGCCTACAGGCTCGGAGCGCACCCTCCCGAGTGAACAGGTGGTTAGCTGGCCTGCGAGAGGCACCGCCAGGTACTGACACCAGCCAAACAGGATCAAACTCTAGAGGGCGGGTTTTTGAGGTTTTAACCCCAAGATGAGCGGAGGCAAACCCTCCCTACCGAGCGGGGCGGCAGGCGGGGCCTCGGCACGACACGATCTGCTCCCGCCTGAGGCGCCCACTCCCGACCCTGCGCCCTCTGGGGCTGCGCTGCTCAGCACCCGCCTCGGGGCAGGAAGAGCCTCCCACAGGGGGTCCAGCACCACCACCCCCACGCCCCTGCGAGACCTGGACGCTGGCAGGTGCCTGGAAAATTCAAGGGTCGGGTCGCCAATCCGGCTCTCTCTCGAGCCCGTCGAGATGAGTGGCCGGGCCCTTCGACGGAGCCCTCACCCTCTGACGTCCCGGCCCCTCAGACCCAGCCTAACGGTTTCCGTGTTGCCTGCTACGAGGCGAGACACGACGGCTCTGGCACTACGCCTTTCCCGAAGAGTGCCCACACTCTTACCTCCGAGTCACGCCGTTCTGAGGCAGAGGGAGGCGGCTACCCTGGTGCCTCGTCTTCAGGTTCCTGATCGTTCTCGTTCTCACCTCAGCTGCAGAGCCGACTCTTGGGGGCGCCGCAGCCTCCGGCGCAGTGACTGTTGGGGTTGTTTCCCGGCAGTGACGGCGCCGCCTCAGCCCCGCTCTTCGCTCCCTCTCCGCGTAGCTCCAGCTTTCTGTTTCACCCGAGGGACCACAAACGCCGCCGCCGCCATGCTTACTACGGAGCCGGGAGGAGGAGCCCGGGGTCGGTGCTCCGAATGCGGCTGCGCGAGGCCCCGCCGACGGAGCCCCCCGGCGGTGGGGACCCTGAGCCCCCTCCCCACGCCTGCTCCCGGGCACCGGGCTCGCTCAGGAGTTCGAAGCTCAGAACCGACCTGACGGGCGCATTGCGTTTAGCGCTCAGTACCCTTCCGGCGATTCCCCGCCCTCCTGGGCGCCAAACCCTCTCCTGAGGCACAACTGTGTCTGGATCTTCCTAGCGGGCCGCTGTGGCCAGGCTCAGATGGAGACTCCGAAAATGTGGAGTTAATTGAGATTTCTAGAACCACCAAGTCTCTTAACAGATTTTAACACTCCCTGAGACGCACCATGTCAGCCCCTTTCCGAAAGCACAACAACTTAACGCTGGCAGGTGCTTTTAAGGACACTCTCCAAGGAGTAAGAAACCAGCCTACTGAAATGGGCTTGGATGTTCTTAATCCCAAACATTTAGAGCCGGGGTCTCCACAGCAAGATGATAGTTACATATTTTTACGTCAGTTGAAAATACAGGGGTTAGTTTCCTCGGCTCTTCATCTGTCAGGTTACGTGAAAACCCATCAATCATTACCTTTAAAACAGCAAGAAGACAAATGAAACGCAAGCACAGATTTCCTTAAATCTCAATCAACTGGGAGCGCTGCGATGATGATGCCTAAAATCAGGCCCAAGGCCAGGCGGCTGAGTTTTGCAGTTCTACCGGGAGCGTGGCGGTTCAAACCCACAAGTCTCTTGGCGGAAACACTGCGTGGAGTCGCTTTGAGTCGAAATCGACTCAAAGGCACTTAACAAGAACAATCCGTGAGCACAGTGGCGCTCTGTGGGATTCCCACTGCTCTGCGAAGTGGGCAGTTTGAGTCCACCAGCCATCTGATGAGCTTTCTGCTCCCACAAAGATTTACAGCCTAGGGTGGCTATGAGTCACAACTGACTCTACGGCTCTGAACAACAACAACAGAAGACTAGGTGAGGCAGGCAGTCCCTGCAGGGAGGTCTACACCCCCCCACCCCCACCTCCCGTTGTAACTATCCTTTCAAAAACTGTTTAGGAAGGAACCAAACTACAGTTTATTAATTGTTATGCTTACAAATAGCAATATTTTCATTTTAACCACTTTACAGAATTCTTTTAAAATTTAAGTATTCTCTAGGTTTTTAAAGAATACAATGATTAATGAAATCCTTTGTTGATAACTGACCATCAGATGCTTTAGCATGGTCATACTCTGACGTCCCAGAGGATTGTGTAAAATCCCTGCTTAGGTGCATTTGCTTTGGAATGTTCTCATCACCTTTTCTTATACCTGTCACTGGTCTCTATTACTGCTTCTCATCTCATCTCTTCATCTGCTCCTCATCCACTTGGATCTTTCCTCTCCTTCTTTCTACTTTACTATTTATTTTTTCCCTCCTTTTTTTCTTTCTGTGGTGCTTTTCTCTGGGACTCCAGTTGATGATTGATCTGATGTTTAAATCCATAGCCAGCTAATGAGAGAGATTTCTTTTCTTCCTGCCAGGAAATGGGATCGTGACTCTAGATATCAAGTGATATCTTGCGATATTTTCATTGCTGTTCACTATCAAAAGTTTTTTCCCTGGGAGAGATGCTTTCTTTTCTTATAACTTCTACATTTGGCCCTCTTCCAGACAAAATTGCTGGAAAGCTGATCTCTGAATGACTGTAGCATATTGTTTTAAAATATGAGGATTTATCAGACTGTGGGTGTATTTGGGTGGCTTCTCCATAGTGCAACCCCAACTCTATTCAGTCTGAGATTAAACTAGTGCTTCCCAAACCTTCCCCTAAGCTAGTACTTTTCAAAGCTTCCCATTTGGAAAGCTATTTTTAAAATATAGAATCCTTCATTTCATCCCTCAAGATTCTGATTCCTTTGTTCTGGGCTTTTCTTTCAGTTTCCCAAATGCCTCATGATTTTACAGTCTTATCTCTTAACTTGTCCCTGATGTCTCAGCTCAAGCGTGATGTCCTTGGGATAAACACTTCCTGATCTCTCAGACAAGGTCAATACCACTTGTTGATGTCAGCTCTCTTAGTACCATGTACCATTCCTTTTCTGATATACTACAGTTTGTAATTACACCTTGTTGTTGTGTTGTTATTGCTAGGTACCATCAAGTCAACTCTTATGCATAGAGACGCTATGCACAATAAAACAAAACACTGCTCAGTCCTGTGCCATCTATACAATTGTTGTTTGACCCCATTGTTGCTGTCATTGTGTTAATCCATCTTGTTGAGGGTCTTCCTCTTTTTCACTGACCTTCCACTTTACTAAATATGATATCCTTTTCCAGGGACTGGTCCTTCCTGACAACATGTCCAAAGTAGGAAATGCAAAGTCCCACTATCAAGGTTTCCAAGGACCATTCTGGCTGTACTTGCAAGACAGATCTGATTACTCTTCTTGCAGTCCAGAGTACTTTCAATACTCTTCAGGAACAAATGCATTGATTCTTTTACAACCTTTCTCATTCATTGTCCAGCTTTCACATGCATATGAAGCAATTGAAAATACCTTGGCTTGGATCAGACACACCTTAGTCTTCAAAGTGACCTCTTTGCTCTTTAGCACTTTAAGGAGGATTTTGCAGCATATTTGCATAATGAAATACATTGTTTGGTTTCTTGACAATTGTTTCTTTGAGTATTGATTGTGGATCCAAGCCAAATGAGTCTTTCAAAACTTCCTTTTTTTCCTCTGTTTATCATGCTGTTTTTTATTGGTCAAGATACTATTTTTTTTTCCTCTACATTGAGTTGCAGTCTAAACAGAAGGCTGCAGTATTTGATCTTCATCAGTATTTCAAGTCCTCTTCTCTTCCAACAATCAAGGTTGTGTTATTTACATATTGTTGTTGTTAAGTGCCATGGAGTCAGTTCCAACTCATAACTTCATAGTGACCCCAATAGGATTTTTGAGGAGCAGCTGGTGAGCTTGAACCACGGACCCTGAGGTTCAAACTGACTTTGCATTTGCATTTCCAATGCATTAACCCACAGCACTACACCAGGACTCTATTTACAAATTACAAGTTGTTAATGTGTCTTCCTCCAGTCCTGAGGCCACATTTTTGTTCATGGAATCCAATCATTTGCTCAGCATTCAAATTGAGTAAGTATAGTGAAAGGACACACCCTGGTGCACACCTTAACTGATTTTAAACTATTCTGTATCTACTTGTTCTGTTCTAGTGACTGCATCTTGATCTATGTACAGGTTCCTCATGAGCACAGCTAAGTGTTCTGGAGTTGCCCTTCTTTGCAAATTTATCCATAGTTTTGTTATGATCCACATAGTTGAATGCTTTTGCAGTCAATAAAGCACAAGTAAACATTTTTTTTGTTTTTTTTCTGGGACTATCTGATAGCAGCAATGATATCCCTAGTTCCACATCCTCTTCTGAATCCAACTTTAATTCCTTCTGGCAGCTTCCTGTGGATGCATCGTGCCAACCATTTTAAAATTATTTTTAGCAAAAATTTTCCTTGTATATGATATTAATCCTATTGTTGAATGATTTCCTCATTCCATTGGGATACTTTTCCTTGCAACGGGCATAAATGTGGAGCTCTCAGTTGAGTGACCAGGTAGCTGTCTTCCAAATTTCATGCCATTGATGAAATTTCCAATTTCATTCCAGGGCTGCATCAGTTTGTTGAAACATTTCAAATTGTTTTCTGTCAGTTCCTGAAGCCTTGTTTTTCACCAATTCTTCATTGCAGCTTGGACTTCTCCCTTGATTACCATCAGTTCTTAATCATATGAGACCTCCTGAAATGATTGAAGGTTGAACAATTCTTTTTGGAACTCTGACTCTCTGTGTTCCTTCCATCTTCTTTTGATGCTTCCTTCATTTTTCAATATTTTGCCCATTGTTAGGTGCTGTTGAGTCAGTTCTGACTCATAGCAACTCTATGCACAAAAGAACAAAACACTGCCCAGTCCAGCACAATCCTCACAATTGTGTTTACATTTGATCCCATTATTGCTGTCACTGTGTCAATCCATCTTGTTGGGGATCTTCTTCTTTTACACTGGCCATCCACTTTATCAAGCATGATGTCCTCCTCTAGGCACTGGTCCTTCCCAACAACATAGTCCTCAATTCTAAGGAGCATTCTGGTTGTACTTCTTACATGACAGATTTGTTTGTTCTTCTGGTAGCCTATGGTACTTTTAATATTCTTTGCCAACACCATAATTCAAATGCATGGATTCTTTTATGGCCTTTCTCATTCATTGTCCAACATTTGCATGCATACGAAATTACAGAAAATACTATGGCTTGTGTCAGGCAAACCTTAGTCCTCAAAGTGACATCTTTGGTCCTTAATACTTTCAAGAGGTCCTTTGATCTCCTGACTGCTGCTTTCATGAGCATTGACTGGATCCAAGCAAATGAAGTCTTCGACAAATTTATTCTTTTTTCCATTTATCTTGGTGTAGTTTTAAGGGGTTTTGCTTTCTTTGCATTGAGGTGGAATCCTACTAAAAATTGTAGTCTTTGATCTTAATCAGTAAGTATTTCAAGTCCAAGGTGCATTGAAGGAATTGGCAAAGAACAAGGCATCAGGAATTGATGGAATAAAGATTGAAATCTTTCAAGAAAGGGAGGCGGCACAGGAGGCACTCACTCATCTCTGCCAAGAAATTTGGAAGACAACTATCTGGCTGACTGATTGGAAGAGACCCACATTTGTGCCCATTCTAAAGAGAGGTGACCCAATGTAATGTGGAAATCGTCGAACAATCTCTTTGATATCCCATGTGAGTAAAGTTTTGCTGAAGGTAGTACAGAAACGGCCACAATCATACATGGACAGAGAACTTTCAGAGGTTCAAGCCGGATTCAAAAGAGGCTGTGGAATGAGGGATATCATTGCTGATGGCCAATGGATCTTGGCTGAAAGCAGAGACGATCAGAAAGATGTTTACCTGTGCTTTATTGACT